AAACTCCTTTTATGAGCATCTTTGGAATGAGCAGTTCAAGAGCATCTGTTAGCATTTCACTGGCCACAGTCAGCATAAATGCAATAGCATCATCTGGAAAATACAGAGAAACAATTTATAAACCTATTTTTGAATTGAACTGGTATTGAACGGTACTCCTTGCTAAGCCCAGGGAGCAACTCCAGGAGGGCCTGCTAATTCAAGACCACTGTCGACCTGCATCCACCCTGGAGGGGGGAAAAGGCTGACAAACCCTCTTCTGTGCTGCTTTTGTTTTATTGTATTAGACTCCTAAAAGCACTTTCAGGGCCCATCTTTCTTCAGCAGAAAAGGAGAGCAGTGGGGAAGGGAGGACATGGCAAAAAGACAGGCGGAGCTCTAGCTCCATTTGTTTTCAGTGTCTCTTGATTAATAGTTTTTAAGGAGGATGGAGAGCTCTCGTTCCTCTGACAGTGGAGGAAGGGGCCAGGGCTCTGCGGGTCTGGGTGCAAGCACCTGCTCGGTCCCTCCCTGTCACGGGTGGTCGAGGGGTGCCCGTGGGCTGCAGCACCTCCCTGCCTTGAGGGGCATTTAAAAGGCCACCCAGGTCAGGGAAGGGGGTGCAGCTACAGGGGCTATGCTGGCAGCTGCTGGAGTTTCAGGCTGGGTTGGTGCAGGAGCATCCCCCTGCCCTGCCCTGGGGATGCTCTGGAAAGGAGGCAGAGGCTGAAGGCTTTGGCCGCTGTGATGCTGCCATGGCATGATGGCTTGTTTTCAGCCTGGGTGGCTTTTAGTGCAGACCTGCCTTTCCTGACCCCACGTTATCCTGGTGAGGGCATCCTCTGGTGTCTCTGGCATGCTTTTTTCTGATTTGGAGTTGATACTGTGTTTTTATTACCAAAGACAAACAAGCCATGAATTTGCGAGCAGAAATTGCAGTAGTAAACTCTTCCTGTTTAGAGGCTGGTTTCTCTTTGTGTGCTCAACAATACAATGTTTCATCTTGTGCAAGTCTTATGTTGCTTTCAGAGACTTAGGAACTATTGATTTATACAGCATGTATTAACTTCTTCAATAAATGGGGAGTATTCATCTGTGGGGTGTATTAAATTGGGCTGTATACGCATAGAAGCATCTTTCATCCTGTTAATGAAATGTCCTTACCATGCAACAAAGACTAATACACAGCAATTTATACACACAATCCCCTGCAGTTTAAATCTGAAGTTCAGATAGGTTTTCTTGTTCCCTAAAGGCACCTATCAGAACTTAGTCTAAATGGATCTCAGTACTCCTCTCAAACATTTATCAGTCCGAAATTTGTTGTGGTTTTGGTGTGGGAATTTTTTTTCATTCCAGAGCTCCATTATTGTTTAAACTGATCTGTGTTTAAGCACTCCCAGAAGCATTTCAAATTCATATAGAGAGATTTAGTAGAGCCCCTACGGGGACAATTTCCTCTGGTTGCTTCAGGCAGCAGTTATCAAGAAAAGCAAACTTCTCTTGTTTTTTTGTAATTCTTTACCATGCCCTCTAACCCAGCATATGAGACCTCAGCTTTCAATGGAGAGGGCTGATTTATCAGCAGAGGACTTGGTTTTTTGTAGGTGCTGGGATTTCTCTTTAGAAATCTCCACTTGTTCTTGTGCTGTTACCACATGCCTTGATGCTAATCTGTGTGTACCAGTGCAGCTCCCCTTCCCATGCCTGACAGAGCCATAAATGGAGCTCTTCAACTTGCCAGAGAAACCCCTGCATCTCACAATGGCTCTTTGCTTAAAGCTGCCCTTGATAAAGTGCTCACAAATGTATATTGGAGAATATTGCCTTTTGCAGGGGGATGTCTAAAGTCATCTAATAGATGTCTCCTATTGATGGCTTCTGTGGTTTACCTTTCATTGCCAGTGGATGGGGTTAGGACCACACTTGTTACTCAGGCAGAGCTCCCATTGACTTCAAAGGAAGATGCATCTGCAGGATTAATCCTGCTCTTCCCCAGATAGTCCTTTATTTTTCTCTTTTCCAAGGAAGCTTAGTTAACTTCAGGAATGGTACTTATGAAGAGCAGCTTGTTTAGCTTATTATGCATGTTTAGCTTGGCTTGCAAATTGGGTGTGCTGTTCTGAGGGGAGTTATGGTCCCTTTCCCCAGTGTGTGCTGAACAGCACAAAACAGAATGGAAACCTGTCCTGGGTGGTGGTACAGATGCAGATTGACTCGTTGGGAAGTGGATCTCACTCCTCTGTCCCAGACAGCATATTTTTTTGCATGCATATGACAGTTTCTCCCTTTCCCTGGGTACATTCTCCCCCCACCTCTGCCCCAGCATCATCAGAGTGGCAAAAGAGTACCCTATCCTTGCACCTTTATATGAGTGGTCCATTTGAGTGCATGGTAGTCACCTAAACAAAAATTGTTTACCAGGGGAAAAATTTGAAGACTTTAGGTTCAAGCTCTTAGTTGTTGATTTTTATTTCTTTTTCCTTTTACTTTTTGTTTGTCTCTGAAGCATGTTAAGTGAAATACATCATAATTTAGCAGTTGTTCTGTTTTGTGGAGATATTGCAGGCGGTCTTGGTAAATCAAAGCAATGAGTGGTGGTTTCCCACAGTTTACATGTAACCCCCTATGGTACATCTGGCTTTGGTGATGGAGCCATGTCAGTCCAGCTTTCCTCTCACGTGTTGTTTCTTGTTTGTCGGCTTAAGTCTGACCCTCTAATGTTATTCTACTTATTTTTTTAACTAACTAGCTCTAGTTTCAGTGAAAATAAACTCTGTGGAAGCCTTAATGTCTGTCAGGGTCTGGGTGAGTTTACAATGATGTGAAGATAGAGTTGGGAGAGCACAAAGCTACAGCATGTATTAACTTCTTCAGTAAATGGGGCCACACTGTGAGTCACCTAACAGCAGGAGCTCACAATTCTTGGCCAGAAAAAAGAGCTCTTATTGGAAATTTTCATTTTCATGAATCTCATGAATTGGTCATTTGGCTTATAATGTCATGTGTTGTGGAGTAGATGCTACTTTGTGTGGTATAAAATATAATTCGTTAGGTGAAGCCCTTGCCAAGTCTTTCAGTTACTTTTGAACTGCTTAGGTTGTTTCACTTGAAAGAGAACAGATTTTGGGTTAGAGCATCTCCTTTGGCTTTTTGAACTTGGAGAGCCAAATCCTCGTATCTCCTCTGATGTGAAACCATTATGGATCTGTGTGGCCAAAAGTTGTCCTTGGCTGCTCAGCTGGCAGAAGATCTGACCCACAGCCCAGCCAACACAATGTGCTGTAAATCATAGCATTGGCTGTTGTGACCACACGTGTGGTGGTCACTTGACATGGGAATCCCCGTGCCAAGTGGGTGGTGGTGGAGAGGAATCATCCCATGTAAGGGTGGCAGAAAGAGATAAACATGGTGAAGAACACAGGAGAAATTGTGGGAAGGACAAGTACATCTCTTGGCTGGCTTCTTTTGGATGCACACTTTTTTCTGCAGGTTATCAAAGCAGTGAGCCCAAACAGCCACGTATAGCAAGGGCTGGGGCTGGGGGAGCCAAAGGGGCTTCACTTGGCCAAAGCATGTTGGAAGGACTTCTTGTTTATTCAGGGAAGAAAGATGTTTCTTTTCCTCCTTGTTCCCAGTTTGTCTTCCCTCTTCCTTCCCCACAGTCTAGAAGCTCATTCCAAAAGAATAAGTGAATTATTTTGAAATGCTTTTAAGGGAAGCTCGGAGCATTGGAAGCCAGATCAGATGATAGCAATAGCTTGTCTAAGGTGGCACAGTGAGGGTGTTTTTGGGGGTGCTGGGGAGTGAGCAGTGTGTTTGGAGCCATTCTGGAGCAGGAGAGTGCTGACAGACCCTGAACAGTAGCGGCGCTATCGCGGCCACCATGGTATCACTACTTTATTTTAATGTGATTCCTTTTACTTGATGTTAATGCAAGTTGTTCCTTACTTAAAGTAATAAAAGGAAATGAAGACACATTCTAAAATGAAACCTGACTCTAATCCATTCATCATCTAATACCAGCCTCTTTATCTTTGCTGGTACCTAATCTGGTTAAATGTCCCTGTTGTAGGATTTTAGTGAAAATCCTCTATGGGGAATAGGGTTTTTTGCAATTGGATTACTCGCAGTAAATGGTCCAGCGGTTCAGCTGGTTTCAGCTTAATTTTTTCTTTGTGATCTTGTAAGGGTAAGTTACAGTTCAGCCTGCCTTTTTCTTTCATTCATTCACTCCTTTTTAAATTTTTTTTTTATTGTTGTTGAGAAAAAGATTTTTTTTTTTCCCCCCAGAGCTAGGAATGTGATGGATAAAACCTCATGATATCTGCGTTATTATTCCCCGTACAAGAGTGTTCATTTCAATGGCTTTATCTGGGGGGTTTTGCCATTATTTATATAGCTGAATATTTTAGTAGCCTAATTAATCAGTATCCAGTTTCCATTTATTAGCGCTCTCTGATGAATTGATAATTAATCAGCTCTTCTAAAATATATATATAAAATATGCAGGTGATCGCTTGTCAGCTTAATGCTTGCTGATGAAGGGAATACTCCAGCACTACAAAGGCTTTTTATCTGGAGTATTTGCAATGAGCAGTAAAATGCAGAACTGAGAGTGAGGACAGGAAGGGGAGAGGAAAAGACCTACAGGTCAGTGAGGATTTGGGTGTCTTGCTAATTAAATGGGGGACTCTCAGCCCCTCACTGAGGAGTCTGCCTGCATCTTGGAGGTGAAGCACAAGATTATAAAATAAAAAGGAAAAATTTTAAAGATTTGCTGTTGCTCCATACAGGAGCATGACAGGTCAAAAAGATCAAAGAACCTCAACAGCAGGGAAAGTGTGTGAGGAGGTTTTAAGCAAGAGGGTGGGAAAACTGCAAGGGTGACACCAAGAAGGGACCTGGAAAAGTCTGAGGATCGTGTTGAAATCCTGGCTACTCAGATTTTTGTATGTCATGCTGTAGTGGGGAGGATTCCCAGCACTGCTCTAACAGTGTCAACCTTTTTCTCTTGACAGTCTAACAAAGTGCCAGTTGTGCAGCACCCACACCATGTACACCCTCTTACGCCGCTTATCACATACAGCAATGAGCACTTCACACCAGGAAACCCTCCTCCACACTTACCAGCTGACGTAGATCCCAAAACAGGTAGGTGGGAAGTATTTTGGGGTTTCTTTTGAGAGGGAGTGGGTGGATCTTTCCTTTTTGCACATGAGGGGAGAGGAGTGCGGGAGAATGGATTTCCCATGCTGGAGCACCAAAGGGAGCATGTAAAATGTCAAACCCAGAAAAAATACTTTTTTTTTAAGCCAATTAGGCTTCAGAAGGAAGCCTACTGGGTGAATTTTCATAGAGCTTCTGCAGGGTGACACCAGAGTTGCATGTGTGGGGTCGCTTGCAGGTGTGTTTCTTTGCAAGCTTGATACCCCACCTGGTAGTTCGATCTACCAGTGCTTGGTTTGCATGCACGACCCAGAGAATTAAACATGTACATTCTGTGATCTGCACTTACAAAATTGCAGCTGGAATTTTAAAGGTGGTGGGTCATGACCGGTTTCAAAATGAATCTCTTTTAATTCCCCAAATCCCATTGTTTCTGTGTCAGGAGTTCAGCCATTTTTCTTCTATAATGTTGAATTTTCATCCGCTGTAACTACTTAGCTCCAGCTTTACACTTGCAACTCTTTTCCCCAATGTAAGTCTACTCAACTCTAAGTTCAGCCTGAAGGGCACTCTGCTTGAATATAGAGCACCACGTAAAACCCTGACTAGATTTATTGGTGTTACAGAGTAGAATTTACATGTTATTCTAACTTTTTAAGAGTCCTTTTTTAACCTGAGGTCCCAAAGAAGTCAAACAGTGTCAATCTTCTTTCTCCAGGCTCCTAGTGACAGTGGTTTTGGTTTTGTTAATCCAAACCCCATTTAGTAAATTGGGAGGTTCATCAGGAACAGAATTGATGTCAAAGGAATCACTCTGTGTCAGCCCTAGCTTATGCAGATAATTTATCTGAACTCCAGCCCCTGAATGAGACTGTGCTGGTTGTCACTCGCCATGCTTCAATTGGGGCCCCCTTTAATTGTGCTTAATGCTGACTTCACATGGCTTGAAAGGAATCCATCTCACCATCCCTGGGTATTGCAAGTGAATGGCATAGTCAACCTCTCATTTAAATAATGGTAGTACAGGGAATAGCTTTTAAATGGTTATCGTAAAACATATGATTAACGTCTGTAGACTGTTTACTTTTCTTCTGTGAACATTCTTTCAAGTGTGCAAATAGCTCACTGGATGGTTAAAGCCCAGTTAATCTGTTTGGGTTTTGTAATGGAGAAAAAGCAATGTCTGCATGAAAATGTCACACAAGGAGATTTAATTTAGAGATTAAAAGCTTCCCAAGTGACTTAAAAAAATAGTTTTTAGCCCTGAATACAGTACCCCTTCTTTTTAATGCTCTCTGTTTCAGTTTTGCTTATACTGTGTAATTGTGCCCTGGCTTGTTAATTGAAAGACCCAGCTTTGTAACCCTTACTCTTTTGAGTAATTCCTATTTGCTCTTAAGGTAAGGAGCATTAATATTTAAGGCTTGTGTCTGGAGCTGGTTCCTACTTTCTGAGTGGGAACTGCACCTCATCCAGAGAGGATGGGTGGGCTCTCTGTCCTCCCCTGCACACCTGCAACATCTGCCCCTGGTTTTACCAAGCATTTCCAGGGGCTTTTGCCTCCACTCATGGTTTCAGAAAAGGTTTCCTAGGTTTGCTCAAAAGCAAACATCATTTGCAATTTTAATGACTTTTAAACTTGTTCTAGAGATTACTTTGGAATAATGCCATGTTCTTGGGTACCCAGTCACCACATGGGTAGGGTCTGTGGTCTTTTGGATGACTTTGAGACAAAATTAACCATGAAGTTGTTACAGGGTCCATGTTTCTGTTGAACATTTAAGGGAGTATCTAGTACAACATCACACCAAAATTGTATCTGAGACTGATGAATTCTAAATAACAAAAATAATTATCTCTGGCTAGAGAGGTAACCGAGGGAGTGAATAACATCATTTTTTTTGCTGAAAAAATAAGAATGTGAAAAGCCTTTGAAAACCCTAAGTGAAGGCACAAATACTGTAATAAAAAGTAAATCAACAGAAATTTAGAAACATATGTGTTTTTTCTTTATATTTTATTTATTTCCACATCTCAATACTGATGCTGCTTTATGTTCCTCCTCTATAGGAATTCCAAGGCCTCCACATCCTCCAGATATATCTCCTTATTATCCATTATCACCAGGCACTGTAGGACAAATCCCCCATCCGCTAGGATGGTTAGTACCACAGTAAGGAGTTCCATTTTTTTAATTTCTTTTTTTTTTTTTTCTGATGTGTAAAATTTGTGTAAAAATATTTGTGTGTCTGTATGTGTTTGTGTGTGTGTATGTGTGCAGGCACACGTGTGTGTGCATTGGGATGAGTTTATTTGCCAGCTGCCACTTCACTGAGTGCTATGAATTTACCCACCTCATGAAGGTTAATTAAAACTTATGCCAGGTCATGTGGTCTTAAACAAACATGAGCAGTTGGACACAGCTTTGCATGTCATCCCAACCAGCTGACAGCTCGTGAAGCATGAATTTTTAAACCCTCCTGCAGAAATGTCCTTTTCTTGTTATTGCTCTTACGCTGCACCACATGAGTTTTTCTCAGATTTGGTTTTCTGGGGGCTCTGGGTAGTTCTCACAGACCCTTTTTTTTTTTTTTTACGAGGGCCATTCTCACTAATTTGCATTTTTAAATTTCATTTGCCTTCTCTGTTGAAAACCCTTTTGTTTTTCTTGTGAAACAGTAGAGCTTTACATCGGCCAGTGAGCAGCATTCCTAGTTGAGATGTGGCTGGGCAGTTGGCAATTGGCATCTGAGGAATGGAATTTTAAACAAGAAAAAGGAATTAGTTTACTTTAAAACTGGCTAAGAAAAAAGCAATGGAAAGTTAGTTTGGGGTTTTGTTTTCTTTTCAACTCCTCAGATCCCACTTGCAGAGCCTTGCTGGGTATGAAGCTCCCAGCAGTAATTGAGTCCTTATTTTCTTTTTTTTCTTATGTTGCCATCTCTCAATAGGTTTATAATACACTTAAGCACTGCCTAAGCCTTTTGTGTAGTATATTTGATTTAAATGCTTATAAAATCCATTTGTATTGCTGGATGCAACAGTTCTCTGCATTATAAATCAAGACTGTTACCCTGGTTTTCTCACGTAACAGGCCTCTCCTCCATTTTGGGGTGATCATATTTCTCATAGAAATGAATTGCTCAGAGTTCAGAATAGTTTGCTTCTGCTTGAGGTTATTTGGCCAGCTGTGTTAAAATACCTCTCCACAAGTTTGGCCTCCATGAGGAACAGGAGTTGACACCCCACAGGAGAGCAGGGGGTCACCCCATATCCCCAGGTCTCGGGCAAGGAGAGGTGGTGGCATCAGAGGCCTTGGAGGACTTTCTGAAGCACAAAAGTGTTGATGCAGGAGAGCTGGAGCTTCTGGCCATTTTGCAGGCTGCCCTTCCTTGTGGGTGGTCATGAAGCTATTTTGGGTAGAGGTTCTCCCACCCTGAGGGTGAAGCATGTCCATCACCTCTCTGCTGAGGGTTGCTTCTCCAGAAGAGCACATCATGAGCAGAAGAAAAACCCAAAGCAGAGCTCTCTGAAATCTGAAATTCCTCCTCGTTTGTGGTGATTTGCCTTTTCCAAAGGACACCCTGAACAATTGTAGACTGCATGTGAGCTCCTTAGCTCAAGGCTGCCCAGCAACAGCCTCAACATTTGAAACAAATACACTCAGCTAGTACCAAAAGTCAGAGACATGAAAGACATGGGAGAGCAGGGAAGAAACTCATTGCTGTCCCTGGCCTATACCCCAATGCTCATCTGCATGTCTGTATTGTGCAGACACAGGTTTGTCCTCCTGGGACCTCGTGCCATGGCTGCCAAAGCACATGGATGATGCCACGTGTGGCCAGTTCCACCAGACAGGTGCTGATGGCCACCTCTGTCTCTGGATGACTCTGTCATCCCCTCTTCTTCATCACCATGGTGTGCTTGCCTACCCACAGCTCTTACAGCTTCTCCCAGTGGTTTTTGTTCAGGGGTGACACCATCACATTGGCTTTTGCCCTAGGAGAGTAGCATGGCCAACTTCACAGAAGTAAATCAAGATTTTAATTTCCCCTCTCCTTGCCACTTGTACTTCACCATCAGCTTCCCAACCCATCTATCCTCCACTGGCCAGCATGTCTCTGGCATAGTACCCACCCCAAAAGCATCCTGCCAGTCAGATGATGTATTTGAAGGACAGATGAAACAAGCTAGCCAGCACAGACAAACCTCCATCAGAAAAAGTTGTGTGTCTTTCATGAGGATGCTGTTTTGCATGTTGCTGTATTTTTTAATTATTGTAATGAGGTGTGATTGTCTATTGGTTACCCACAATACTTCTTGGGGACTCTCCCCCGGTAACTCTTGTCAACACTTGTTAATCTGACAAAAGGCTACAAATTAAGCTCTGTTAATTTAATGTTTTCTCACCGAGATCTAAATACCGAAAGAGGCCCAAAGCGCAACTGAAGTCCTTTGATTCACTGTACTTTATTTTGGTATAAATTTACATTCATTATTGTTTTCCTTTGGATGTGTAGCCCTCAATTAGTGTGATGGCTCCATTAAAGCAAGCGAGACTTCGCCTTTAATTATTACAACAAAACACCTAGTTTCAGCTTGGGGAGAGGGTCTCTATTGACATAAGCAGAGGTTATAAAATTTAATTAGCCATTCCTATCAGATTTATGGCATTCAAATTGTTCTGTGTTTCTTTCCTTTGATCCTTGCTGTACAATCCCCAAGATTTTTGTTCTGATCAAATGAGAATAAAGCTTACTGTGCAGAGAGAAGTTTTTTGTTGTTCTTTTTTTTTTTTTTTTTAAAGCCCTTTTTTCCTTTCTCTCATTCTCCCTTTCCCTTCTTTTTTGCCAGGCAAGGTCAGCCAGTGTACCCAATCACGACAGGGGGTTTCCGCCACCCTTACCCAACAGCTCTGACCGTCAATGCTTCCATGTCAAGGTGAGTTCAAATACTGAGGTCCTAAATTAAGAGCAAATGTAGCTCCTCCTCCCACTCTCTGGAGGAGAGCATTTCATCTAGGCAGAGATTTCTGAAAGCACTTCAGTTAAACATCCATCCATAGCTTTTGTGTGGGGTGGAGGACAGGGCGAGGGCTACCTTCCCATGTGAGGAGAAGGCAGTATCCTAATGGTGTCATTGGGCCTCAAGAATTTGTTTTAGAGGAAGAGGTGGAGGAGTGAGAAGCCACCTTTAAAAGCCAAACTAAATGAAAGAGCTGTGAGAATGTAATGTTGAAAAAGCAGGGATAAGAAGTCGTGGTAGCCTTTGCTCTCTCGGTGGCCATCAGCCAGAGCAGCGTGTGTGTGCAGGAGAGAAGGCTCAGGAGGGAGGAGGATTGCTCTTCAGCAGAGTTGGGAGGAAGGTTATTGTGCTGTGTTTTCCCTCCCAAAGCTCCAAACACTGATAGTCAACATAAAAGGGCCTGCCTGACCCTCAAAAGCTTTAGAAGTATATATTTCTCCCCCTCCCTACCTCCAATTAATTCCATCTAATTTTCCAGGGGCTGCTAGTTTTATTTACAAACTGGTTGGCAGCACTATGTTTAAGTAATCAGTAATTGCTCCTAATGATAGTTTTATTTTCTGTTCATCTGATTTTCAGCCTGGTTAATTAAATCGGTGGAAGTTTAGACTTTCCTGATGGGCTGAAACAGCTAATCCATTTTGATGATGGCACATAATTAAATTAGCATGCATTACATAGCAAGGTTCCATGTCTCTTCCCTGCTCTGTCCCTTCCTCTCCATCTCTGCAGTTTAATATGTGAAGGTTGGTGCATAGATGATCTAAGGAGGAAAAGACTGGTGAGGGCTGGGGGGAAGCACACCTCATTGAGAAGTGGGAATCTGTACCTAGGGCTCGTGAATGAATGGGTGGGAAAATAGTGTGGTGTGTGTGCTTTAGATAAGTAAACAAAAACCTAAAAATTTAAAAATAGACAACTGGAAAATCAACTTAAAAAAAAAAAAAGTGTAGTCCCAGCACAGAAAAAAGATACTAGGCTGGGGAGAGATCTGCAAATTTAAACAATGGTTTCCTCCCCCTATTTAATCTTTTTTAATATCTATAAAAGACTTGCAGGCATGGTGTGAGGCAAAGTAGAGCTTGATTTAGTTTAATTATTATTAGAGAGGCTAGTCATTTGAGAGAAGGGGGAGATGTGGAAGCGGGGAGGGGGGGGCTATATTCCCAAGATAGGCTTTATGAAAGGTATCTAGTTAAAAAGAGTACACAGCAAATTAAATACATTATTGTGGTAATGGGACGACAGAAGTAGAGGTCTATTATACTTATGGCAGTTATAGGAAATGTAGGCTCCTTGCCCTGTTCTAGCACATCCTTTGATATTCATTCCATTCAGCAGCAGGGCCAGGACTTCTCAGAATTAAGTGATGGGTCATTATACTTTAAACACCATGGAGAAGCCTAGATTGGCAATTAAACAGCACTTGCTGACACTCGCTTGTGCCACCCTGTGACCCCCTTTAGATTGAGTTGTTGGAGCTCGGGGCCCTCAGCCTGCTAAATTGGTAGCAGGCACTTCTCCTGACGAGGGCTGGCTCTGAAATCTGCCGGCTTCAAAGGGAGCAAGATCATGTATAAACCATAATGTGGGTGCACCGTGGCTCAAAAAATAAGGCAGGAATAGATGAAATGTTACAAGTGCAAGGGGAAAATGAGAGAATAATGACAAATCTAATGCAACTCAAAGCAGAATTGTTGCACAGAAAAATGCATCCCACTGCTTGTGCATAAAATCAAGGCAGGCAGATGACATCCAGTTAACAGAAACATGTCAACAGTGAAGTAAAGTGAGAGTGAGTAAGAGAGAAGCCCCTGAGACAGCCAGGAACAAAAAATTAGTTGTCCTTAACAAGTTAAGACTCATCATTATATTCTGGCTTGGAGCCATAAAAGGAGACAGTGGTGTATAATGAGCTGCTTAGAATTTTTAGGGTGTTTATTGCAATTCATGGAATACTTGTCTAGAGAAAAAAAAATCTGGTGAATGTCTTAGGCGAAGGTGAGGGGTGTGCACATACACAGGGAGCCTTTCTTTTTGTCTCTGACAGAAGCCCATAGTGTGCACATGCTCAGGCACATGTGCAGGAGCATGAATAGATTTAAGGTGTTTACCCTTTGTTTCAGCCCAGAAACTTCTCCTCTGGTTTCCTGCGGATGGGAACACCCTCTGGGCAGGCTGTGCTCTCATACATGGTTCCATGTATGTTTTCCCCTGTCAGCCTGGGCTCAGCAGTGGGACAGCCTTGTCCAGGTGCCCGGTGTGGTCAGGAGATTTCTGGTGGTGCCCATGCTGCCTCCAGACATGCTGCTCATGCCTGGCCCTGGGCAACAGCCCTGCAGGGCCCTGATGCAAGCCCCTGCTGCAGACCTTGCCTTTGCTGGGCTGGCTTTGCCTCAACAGTGAAGTCAGCACAGACCTCAGACCTCACCCCTCCATCCACAGTTTTCCAGAGCCTGCCTTCAAAAGTAGTTCCCATCTTTGCCTTCATTATGGTACAGATCTTTGGAGACTATAGTGCTTCCCAACCCTTAGTTCCCTAAGCTTGGTAATTGCTGTTCATTAGTTAGAGTGCACTTATGAATAGTTTATAAAAGGTTAATGGGTGACTAATAGTGATTTTTCATAAGTGGTTTAGGCTATCAAGGTAGTGTCTTCTGGTTGTTTTAACCATTTACAACTCTTCGTTGTTGCTTGTAGCCTTGCCACACTCACACTGTATGCTTGTAGCATGCCTGTCACATCTCTTGAGCCATCATTACCCCTCTGTAATATGCCTTTAAGGTAAAATGAGACAGGGCTAACTGAGTGATGGGCAAACAGTGGACCCACTATGAAAAAACAACTGCTGGGAGAGGAAATCAGGAAATAATTTAGCAGAATTACACCAGACAAACACTGCACAGCAGTTAAGTGGTGGCAGTGGAAAATACCTTCTGTAATTGAAATTTCAGGGGAAATTCACTTTTGCTGAATGTAATTACTGAAGTTGGAGTGTAGCCAGGAAGTTAAAAATTAACACTCTTCCCCTGCTCATATTGCCACGTGAGTGGCTGTCTACATGGAAATGAGCAGGCACTTGGACTTTGGGGTGAACCCTCATCCCACCCTTGAAAGTCCATGGGATTGTGAGAGCAACTTTGGTTTCTGGAGCATGTTTTTATAGCCCTAAACACAGGAAGGGGTGTGTAAGTCCAATAGGCAGCCTTGTGAATTGGACAGATTCAGTATGAAAAAGTGAATGGTCATTGGTTATGAACACAGCACTTCCTCATGGAAACTGCAACCCTGAAAATAACCACTGAGCTGCAGCTGCCTGTTGATGAAGGCTGTAGTCTCTGGAGTTTTCAGCCCTATGAGTAAAATATCCTGGCTGAGGTCAGTGGAGGCTTTGCCATCTTTCAGGCCTTCACACAATGTGTGCATGCTGTGCTCTGCACTCAGATTTTCTCACTGCTGGTATATGTCCACTGCTCTTCATGCTGAGCCCTCATGTCAGACCAGCACAGCTCTTCCTGCCTTCTCTCTGAAGGAAGACTTTTCATCTCCATCCTCATCCTTCATTGTCCCCTTGTCTCTGGCTTAGCCAGCCCCAGCAGCATAGTCCTCTCTGAAACCCTGGGTCTTGCCTAGCACAGTCACTTGATAGGATGTGTCTCAGCCTTTTATCACTGTGCTTAGACTGCTTTCAGCAAGGTCAGTTTTTTGCCACCGGTTTTATTTTTGCTAGTGTTTGTTAGTTATTTTTTAAAAATCCAACTCGTACTGCCAGGTTTTATTTGCATTGTACTGTGTCTGAAGGTCCCAGGCGCTGTGTGAACACAATGTCCAATCAAAATACATACACATGGAAGTAGAGAGAGAACAGAAAAAAATAATACAAAGGCCCAGTTTGTGTCTTGCTGATGGTGAGCAGTTCTATGGCAGAACTGGGACAAGGATGCCAGTCTCCTTTGCAGTCTTGACATTGTCTTCTGTTCTGACCTACCATAAACCAAAGTATATCCTCAAATGTGTGCTTCTCTCCCAGCTACTTTTGTCAGAGAGTGGGAAGGCACTTGGACAACCCACTTGGAGATTTGTGTCCGTGAGTCTTTAGCAGAAGTAGGAATGACCATTTTGCTGCCCATTCTCCTCTTTCCTTGCCATCCCACCTTCCTGCCTCCCTTCTCTCCATGCCTTTGTTCATGAAGAGCTGCAATTCTCTATAACTTGAACAATTTCACATTCTCTCTGTCAGTTCTTGCTCTTCCCACCGCTGCCTTCAAAGACAAAATAGTTCTGTCTAATCACCCTGAGTACTACCAGCTGATAGACAAAAGATCCTCAGAGCTTGTAGTGGACAGTGCTCTTGTTCATGAAAGTACTTCTGTGTCACTTGTGAATGTAGAGAATGTCTAGGCAGTCACAGGGGATGGGATTGTTAAGATCAGCACTGGAATTTAGAAGAGGGAAGAGAAAAAGATAGCCCCACTATATTTCTGATGCTTATACACAGTGATATCCTTGGTATATCACCCCGTTTTAAATTCTGTTGGATAGCAAAATATCACTGTATATTGATGAGAGAAGAAATAATTATTTATCGCATTAAATGTTCCATAATCTTGGATTATTTTACTTGGATCAGATTGTTCAAAATCTTGGATGAGACTGGGGATTTGCACTGAGAAAAGTCCTTGCCAGATCACTTTAATTTTAGCGTTTTGGGGAAAGTTACTTCTGAAACATAATTTTAAGCTATTCCCTGGAAACCTGTTGACTACAATGGGAGTTTTCTAAGGGGAAAGCAGTCAGTCATGCTGTGCTTTCCTTATTCACTGCAAAACCTTTCTGAGGCTGTTGAGAAACAATGATATAAGTCAATCCTGCTTTTGAGAAGTTTGTTCATTTCTGTTAAAATGTGAGAAGTCTAAATGATTGTGCCATGTTTATGCTGTGATCCCGACCAAGCAATTAGATTCATGCAGAAGGATTGCATATCCCTCTGAATCCACTTGCAGGACTGGGATCTGTCCATGTATATGACCATAAACCATAAAGCTGGCAACATTTTTTTTCTCTTTAGAAACGCTAGACTGTTAAAGCCTTTCTAGGTTACTTTAATGGATCAAAAATTCCACAATCTTCCACCTTCTGTTAAAACAATGTGACTCAGAGATTTATTAGACACATATAAATATTTTCTTTTGCTCCATCAACAAAATGTAGCTAATGAGGCGTATATAAGTATTATCAAAAATGCATCTAGAATGTGTTGGCATTAATATTTTATTTTGCTGTCAATATAGAATAAAAGATGTCATCCTAAATTTGCAACATGATTCAAAACTATAAAAATTGATTCCTCGGCTGCCATACATAATTTCTTAGCAAAGAAATGGACTGGTGGATTTTGTTTCAGGTAGCTGAAATTCCACCTTCATACAAGTTCATCCAGTTGAATTCGCCTTTTGTTAAAGATGTTAAAAATCATGATGTCTCGTGTCAGTAATGATAATGAAGGGGAAGATTGGCTTTAATGACATTAGAAGAGTCATTATGTTTAATTTATTGCTAATTAATGCTGCCAGCTTTCATATGCTTTGTCTAGCTGTCATGTGCTTGTTATATGCCAGTTGTTTTTTTTTTTTTTTTTTAATGTGTGTACACATCCCTCCCCATTCATTCATTTTTATTCTGACGATTTACACAGCTTTCTCTCCTCTAGGTTTCCTCCACACATGGTCCCGCCACACCATAGTTTACACACAACTGGAATTCCTCATCCGGCCATAGTCACACCAACAGTCAAACAGGAATCTTCCCAGAGTGACGTCGGCTCACTCCACAGCTCGTAAGTTGTTGCTTCCCCTGTGAAATATTTTTTCTTTTTTTTTTTTTTTTTTCTTATCTGTTATAATTTATTTGAACGTGGTTTAGCTGCCAAAATGTGTCAAAATATGATGATAGCAATCTTTGAGTCATTCTGTAACATAGGCAAGTAGTTACTAATTTCACCTGTTTCAACGAGGAAGTGGACTTTCCTTGATTGAGATTCAAGTTTCTTGACCAGTTTCTCTGTTACTCAGTGCCTAGTTTGAAGCCTTGAGATAACATATGCACCACAGGATGCAAAAAGCTAAGCATAAATGGCTTCTTCAAAGCTGCAGAGAGCTGGTATCAGGTTTAGGTTTGTATTGACAAGAGCCCATTGATAACGGGGTGTAATTATTTCCTCTCCTGTCACACTCAAGCTCTCCCTGTGAGCCCATTTTTCTGTAGCCCATGTCCTTCCAAGGTTCTTGTAGGGGCTCAGAGGGTACTTAGTGATGTTGCATAAACATGAGGTGAGTTTTCTTGTAATGCTCTTAAGACTGTTCCCATACAGCAGCCAGGGTGAAGGTTCTAGAGAATCTTCTGGTTGTCTTCCTAGAGATTGCTGAGGATTAATGCTTAGAGAGATTGAGGGGATTAATTTAATAAACTCACAAGGGGTTCTTACTGTGAGGTCTCTGTCTGTTGTATCTTTACTCTTCAGAAAACATCAGGACTCCAAAAAAGAAGAAGAGAAAAAGAAGCCACACATAAAGAAACCTCTTAATGCATTTATGTTGTATATGAAGGAAATGAGAGCAAAAGTTGTAGCAGAATGCACATTGAAAGAGAGCGCAGCCATCAACCAAATCCTCGGTCGAAGGGTAGGTAACAAGGGACTTGAGCAGGGCCTGAAACTCTGTAGGATTCACACCTTCTGAATCCCTGTGTTTTTCTGCTATTGTGAAAATGGGTAGGGAAATTGCTAAAACAAAGGCCTTGGTTTTGTTTTTTTAGTTTTTGCAGGCACTTCTTGCTGGTGGGGTCATTCATGGGGAAGAGGAGGAGTTAATTAATAGCAGTGTTATTTCTGTGTCGTTTCCATGACTGGTTGATGAAAAAAGTCTCAAATTTTTACTTTGGCCTAAGATAGGCAGAAAAGTAAATGGGAAATGGAAAACCTTTGAGTACAGTATCAGCATCTGTGAGAGCTAGAAGAGGGGAGGGAGTGCCAGTGGGGGAGACCACCTCCAAAGCTGTAACTGAGTTCTGGCTCAGGACAAGTGGTTCAGCTTCTGGACCATCTCCCCTGCTGTCTGTTTTTGTTTAGATTTCATAATTCTCCTTTCTCAACAGGAGACAACAGGGTTGAGTGCATGTAAATGATTAGTTGTGGTTCAGTTGATTTAACTACAGTTACAGTCTGGATTTGTAAATAAAATACGAATGTCAGCATGCCAGATCATCTGTTTATATCTCTTTTTTATGAAAATCGATTCTAACTGTATTTATATGTATAAATAACACACTTTGCTGTTAACGTGCTTAAAAAAAAAACCCAACCACTAGTGCTTTTTATTTTGTCTTTTTGTGTTTTCTCCACCCCAGTGGCACGCGTTATCCAGAGAAGAGCAAGCGAAATACTATGAACTAGCAAGGAAGGAGCGACAGCTTCACATGCAGCTGTACCCAGGCTGGTCTGCACGGGATAACTATGTAGGTTCCTATGTAGCTGGAAACTTTCTTAGTAGTAGAGCTTGTAGAAATGTCAATGTGACCTGCTAAACCAGGTGGAAAGCCTCAGGACCCCAGTCTGGTAACAACAACGGGAGCTTCCCTCTGTGATACCAAAATTACTAGGGATAATTCCCAGCCTTCCACTTGGAAGAGGCTTCCTGGCTGGGACTAGTATAGGGTTAGAATTCGAGGATAACAGTAGAGCTCTGTGAAGAAAAGTCTTCCCTTCACTTTTACCAGCATCTGGAAATGCTGTTTGGCTTGCTGGTCATTTTGAATTTCATTTTTTAAAACAAAGCTTTAAATCCCCCTAGTATAGCTCCTCTCCTTTCCACCAAAAGTGATAAATAATTAGTGTCTTGTGCTTATCTGTGTGAGAGTGTAGTGGAAAGTGGAAGAATTACTTTTCCTAGCTTCAGAGAAGGACTGGCAAAACCAAAAGCATTATATATTTGAAAGTTTTGCTCTCAAATGGGATTAAATGAATTATTCCATGCTCTACAGTTGTGTAGCTTGTTTTTTTTCTTCATGCCCATATTACCTTTTTTTTCCCTCTACCCTTCTCATTTTTTAAAAAGTGTATTGGAATTCATGATCAATTCATGGATTGTTTTTAAAATTGATTCCTCCCTCTAGTTTTCAGAAAGCCTCTTTTTGAGCTAAATGTAGTAGAATTTTTTGCTGTTAAAAAGCATAAGGGCAGCTTTATAACCCCCAGTACTAAATAGCTCCTTCCATGAAGGGTAAGCGGTGCAGATGGTAATAAGTGTTTGCAAGCCTAAGCCCATAAATTCTTGACAGATTTGTGGATTGGTGAGAGCTCTAAACCTGTTTTAATAGGATTATAGCAGCATCTTGATTTTTTTTTTAAGTTAAATAAAAATCACCTAAAACTTTCAAGGTCTCTAACTCTGTAATAAACCCTGTTCCCTGCCTTCTAGTCACACTTCCCTGCAGGTTTGGTGATCAACAGCTCTAAGATTGATGCCAGTTCTGTGTAGAGTTACACATTATGGTTTTGTTGAAGTCTATCTCTTCCATCCCCATCATCATCACTGCCGATTTTTACCATAAATATTCTATTTTGCTGTATATGACAATAGTTGCCTCTGTAAAGCTGCATTTTTATATGTGTGGGTGAGAGGAATCCCGTTCAGAGTCTGCAGTGAAGCCAGGAGAAGCAGCAGCAGTAGCTCTTTACACTCTTCTGCTGTTTCAGTGGTGGAGAATACACATGCTCACTTATTTAGCAATATGTACTTAAGGACATTTTTTGAAATCCTTCTGTTTTCTTGATCATCTTTTCTTCCCACTGGGCTCAGCTCTCCCTTCTTGGTCATTACAAGTATAACTATGCATGCTCAATTGTCCTTCCAGTTCAGAATATTCTTGATTCTCTGCTCCTCAGAGGAGACCTTTTTAATCCTGATGAGGCACAGCTCCTGCTTAGCACGTTTTCCTTCCCTTTTCAGCACAGTCTGGCCTGAGGCTGTCAGACCATAGGCTCAGGTAGTTCCTCAGCACTGTGCAGTATCATCGTCTTGGGTGTTCAAAAGGGAGTGTAGGCTCGACTGAGGTTTCGGGAATGCTCATTCTGCACAGTGACTGTGCCACTGACAGATGGGCATGTACAAAGCCTCAGTGTTTAGGACCTTTTACTTTTGTCCTCACTGTGTGAACACTGAGAAACCCTTTCTTCTCAAGCTAAAAAGGACAGGATGAGAAAGCCAGTGCTTTCCCAGCGGCTTGATGCTGTACCCCCAAGTGACCTTCAGGGGGAACCTTCCTGCCTGAGGAGAGCGTGGTACCTTTGCATCACCCGCAGGATTTATTTATCTCTCCTCTCCTGGTCCATTCACAGCTCTCCTGAGTGCCCCTCCTCCCTCAGCCGTTTGTAGGGTCTTGAGCCTTTCACACATCTAGCAGGGGAGCGACTTTGGGCTGCTTGAAGTGGTTAAATTGTTAAGCACCTCACATCAGGCTCAAGGATAAGGCCAGCTATAGCCCAAGTCTTCAGAGACAGGAGCAGTGCATTCAGGAAATGCAGCTTTCAGCCTCGTGGCTTGTTGGTGTCACAAGGCACATTGGCTCTTCCTGAGATCTAATGTAAGATATTTGGCAGTGCTGATTGCTGGACTCAGAAGTACGTAAGGGTCCAGTCACCTCACCCACTGCTTGTCTCGAAAATTAGTACCAAAGAACTCTGCAGACCTCTCAAAATCCATGTTGGTTTGGCTTTGAAGAGGGAGCTGCCGAAATGTTTAGCAGGTATTTACATCCATATTTACTTGCAGCATAAGAATTTATATAGTATGATGACAGAAAATGTTACAATCTGCTCAAGTCTTAGGAGAACAATCTTAGGCAAAGAAAAAATGGTCTCTTTGGCAGAACATTTGAAAAACTGCTGCCACAGTTCTTTCCTTAATTCCATATATTAATTTAGATACATAGTCTAATATCCTCATGTAGCCCAGAAATTGAACAAGCAAACCAGATTATTCTTCTCTCTGTTTCCTTTGAAAAGGGTGTAAAGAAGTCGAAGTGACCTCTGTCCATTCTTTGTTAGGAAGAGTTTTAAAAGTTTGTATTGAAAAAGAATGAGAAATTCCTGGTCCCTGGCTAACATTCCTGTAGATCAGCTGTTTTTAAGAGATTACTCCCTAAAGGCATTACAGTGCTTTAATACCTGGCTTGAAGAGCTTGTGAAAGACAGGTGACTCCTGACCTTTGTTCTGGCTGGCCCTTGAGTGAAGAAGTTATAAGGTCTCAAATTGAAATAGCCCTTGAATTCCCAAATTCAAAACTGCAAAAACTAAGCAAATTCACCCCAGATGCAGTCTGTTAATTATGCCCGTGGCCTCCTTGAGATTAAATAAAAGTCGGGTTTATAATCTTGAGGCAGTTGTCTGGTTTTGGTTACACTGTTGAGAGCTGAAAAAAATTCACTGATTTTCGCAGACTTACTGTCAATCTAGATCAATATAGATGGAGCAAAGTCTGAGCTTCTTCCATCTTTATGTGATATGTGGATTTCAAGATACCGTGGTTTTTCCCTATTCTATTCTCAGGGAGCTTTAGGAGCAGCGCTCGTCTGCCTTGTCTGCCTGTCATGTTAGACTGATGGCTGCTCTAGCATTTGACAACTTCCATATCCCAAAAAATTACCTCAGAGCTGCCAGAGATTATTTGTCATGAGCATCCAGACTGAAGGATTATGTACATGTTGTTTAAAGTTCCTTTGAGATGGACAGTGCACACAGTTTTTTTCCATCTCCAGAAGGATCTCATAAACCTGGACCAGCCAGGACAACAGGATGACAGTTTACAACCCTGAGCAAGCAAGGGCAGATGAGTGTAGAAAATCTCATGCCACAGGGCCAGCTTTGTGGAGGAAAAACAGGACAACAATGAATCAATGACCTACATTCATACTGGGGGAATTTTTTACTAATACATTCCAGGAAACCTATCATAGGGAGCATCCCAAATGTGGGTGTGCCATGCTGAAGCCCATCTGAACCAGGTATCTGGAATCCATCTACTGAGAAAGATGCCCATTATGTGGGAGAACATCTTGGCATTCCCAGATACATCCAACTCTTCAAAAGTTCTGAGATTCCTTCTTCCAAGAGATGTTTGTTGCCCCTTCACCCCAAGAGACTGCTGCTCTGAGGTCTTCTCATGAGCTGTGCTTGCTACCATGCCTTCAAAAGCCAGGAATTCTTGTGCTGTTCACAGCTGACATTGCTGGCCCAAAAGTTGTTGCTTTTAGCATTTGGGGAGCTATGAAAATGAAATTACTCTGTTGCCTACATTGTCCTTGTTGTAGTAGTCTGCAAACCCTGTACCTCAGTGTTAGAGGAGTTTTCTTGGAAAAATAGCTTTTCTCTTTTGAGCTATGCTTATTACTTCATATTTTTTCTACTGGAAAGGAATTACTGTGTTTTCACAGAAGCTGAGCTCCCAGCTGTCCTCTCCCACACTGTTGGAGGGAAACAGAATGGGATTTTTTCCCTCCCGTCAAAAACTGTAACAAATTTCATCATCTTGTACAGTTTCAGAAAGGGATAGAATTTAGCAAAATTTTACTGGTTGTTTCCTTGTGATAGAGCAAAATGTGGGAAGGGTCTTGGCTATGTCTGGATTTTTTTTCCTTGTCCTGGCATTGCTTTTTAAGTTGTAAGTGAAACTATAAAACTGCAGGTTAGGATTTGCTTATTACTGTGAGCTTCTTTGTCTGCTTGAATGCTTGGGTTTTGGTGCTGAGGAGCTCCAGGTGCTCAGTCTGACTTCACTTTCCTCTCTCTTATCTCCCTCTCCTTTCCCTCCCTGCCCCATCAATATATGATCACAAGTGATTCTTGAAATTTCTACATGCTGGAGCATACACATGTCAAATGTTTTTGGCTTCATGATGATCTTAGCTCAAAAGCAGCATCTTGCAGGTCCTTCTTCTGCACTTCTTCTGGTGCTTCCAGCTGCCCATGGCCTTGGTGGGTTTTAGCACTGGGGGGCTGCAGTGAGGCTGTCTGAAAAGTCACAGGGTGGGCAGGCAGAGTCAATCCCAGGGTGCAGCATCTCCTTGGGGCCCCCCAAAGTTCCCTGCACTGGGGGTGAGCCAGTGCCATCCTTCGGTGTCCCCCCTTGGGAGCTTCCTGCCACAGCCTCATTGCTCGGTGCCCTCTTGCAAGGACGCTTGTTTGGGGTTTTATTTTAATCCTTCTCATTTGTATATGTTTTCTGCAGGGAAAGAAGAAGAAGAGGAAAAGGGATAAGCAGCCAGGAGAGACCAATGGTAAGTAAAGACAAGTCAAAACCTCTTGCTTAGTGGAAGTGTGGCAGTCCTGGCGTGACCCTTGTAGGAATGGGGGAGGTGGGCACAATTCTCCTGGCCTCAGGGGAGCCAGTCCCTATGCTAGACAGCTTTTTTTGTTTGGTTTGGTTTTTTTGTTTTTTTTTTTTTTTTTTTAAATGCACTCCAATTATTCACGCGTTACCGCCCTTCTAAAACTAGTAACCCAGCCATTGCATGTCAGAGCCTCCTGGCGTGGCTTTAGCTGAGTTTGTCCGTGTAGTGCCGAGCCTGTAGCCGCAGAGCCGTAGCTGTAATTAATTAATGCCTGTGCCATCGTGTGTCCCGCCGTCCGCTTCCTCCGCGCGTCCCCGCGCGCGCGGCCGTGTGCGTGTGCTCCTAACTTGGGCTGTCCCTGGATGTCCTGATGCATGCCTTACAGTGGTAAATCGCACCCATCTTAAATTAAGGAGGTTTGCCATTCTATATAGGAAATTAGAAATACTGCATAGGCAATCTCATAGTCGATCTTGAAGAAGCCCTAACTTAGTTTTTTTGAAGCCTTTGTATAATTTGTTCTTTTTTTTCAGAACACAGCGAATGTTTCCTAAATCCTTGCCTTTCACTTCCTCCGATTACAGGTGCTAACGTCATTTTGAGTCATTTAAAATAGTTTATAAACTGCTTTTTAATTTTTTTTCCTGCCATTATAGATTTTAACATTAAACACTTATGACATTAAAAAAAAAAATACCATCCACACGTTTTGATAGTATTTATTATCTATATATCTTTATATCTATTATGTTTGATAGTATTTTTTAATTTTGTTTTTTGTTTTTGTAACAATTGCTATTAAAACAGTAATACAGTAAAAATAACGCAAGAGTTGTACTAACTGTGCAAATTGAATATGCAGTATTTCTTTAAAGAGACTGATAAAGAATGGAAGCAAGTCAGTAATGAACCTCCTTAATCTAATGGCATTTTTCATGGCTCCCACTAAGTCTTCTCACATTAGCATGCATATGCATTTTTTTATTATTATTTTAGTTTTGAATCTTTTTTTTTCCTTTCTGCTCAAGCCTATTCATTGCAATTCACTAGCTGTACTAACTCAGCACCTTGCCATGCTTTACGTTTTATTTTCTGGCTGATACTAACATACTCATTCTGCAATCTGCTTATTCTTATCCATTCTTTTAAATACAAATTAATGAAAACAAGTAAATTGAATGTTATTCCAAAAGCTGCATTATCCCAGGAGATATAATTTCTTTTTTTTCCTTTCTTTTTTTTTTTCTCTTATTTTGTATCTGAGTTGAAGAAAAAAGCATGTTCAGGATCTAACTTCCATACTCAGCTTCTTTTCTTCCTTTTTTTCCCCCTCTTAAAAAAAAAAAAAAAAAACCCAGCCCAAATCAATCTTTGCCTGAAACATCCTGCTAGACCAACCACAAAGACTTTCCTCTACCTGCTCTCTGAAAAGGGAAAGAAACAGTCCTTTATAAAGGGATACTGCAGCTTTAATTGCAACAGCTAATCTCAAGAGTTGAATAAAAATGTAATTATCACTTTTTTTTTAACTTTTAAATCAAAAGTCAATATTTGCAATTAATAACGAGGACATTGATTTTTATTCCCTTTTTTATTTTTATTTTTTCCTTATTTTTACCTTTCTCTTTTTTCTCCCCTTTTCTCTCTTCCTTTCTCTCTCTCTCTCTCTCTCTCTCTCACTCCCCCCTCTCCCCTTTTCTTTTTTTCCTCTCTCCCTTTTCTGCTCGCTTTTCTTGAACTCATTCAGACCTGAGCGCTCCTAAGAAATGCCGAGCGCGCTTTGGCCTTGATCAACAGAATAACTGGTGCGGCCCCTGCAGGTGTGTATAGTTTTCCCAGACTCGCTATGGCTGATTTGCAGCTGGTTTATTTGGTACTTTCCCCTTTTTTTTCCTGCCTTGTTGCTTTGTAGCTCTGTGTTGTGATCTAGAAGACACAAGGGAGTGGGACACTGCCATCAGTAATCGTCTCTCTGAAAGGGTTTTGCTTTTTTTTTTCTTTGTTGGTTGGTTTGTTTTTTTTTTTATTTTTTGCCTTCCTCTTTGCTGCTGCTAGCCAAAAACCCACTGTAAAACAGCATCAACCTTAAGCCCATCTGATCCGTGGCTCAACCACGCTCCTGCCTTCCAAGCCTCCACCCAAGGAAAGTCTCTCCCAAAGCCCTTGATAACGCGGCACTGAGTGCGGTACCGACACCACACAGGCTCGTGGCTGTGTCGGAGATTTTTTTTTTTTTTTTTTTGGTTTCCCTTTGGCTCATTATGAAAGTCCTGTTTTCCTTCCTGCCCTTGGTACGAGGGGAGATTACCAAATAAAACGAAGGTGATTGAAAGCTGAACGTAGCTGTAGCTAAGATGACGCAGACCAAATGAGCTCTATCCACCATTGTGTTGTATTTTTTGTGTTTACCTTATGCTAACAGATGCAAATACTCCAAAGAAGTGTCGGGCATTGTTCGGGCTTGACCGACAGAGTTTATGGTGCAAACCATGCAGGTATAAAACTACCCATCAGGCCTTTGGGGAAATAAAAGCAATCTGTCCTCTTAGTGCATTTGTGTGATTTTATTTTTTTAATCTTTTTTCCCCACTCCCCACCTTTCTCTTTCCCACAGCATCAATTGCTAATAATCTTTGGTCTTGGAATTTCTTGCTAATTTAATGCCATTTTCTCTCTTTCTTTACCAATAACCTCTCCCTGGTGGTAGAACTGGGAACAAGAAAACTCAAAGTCCTTAAAGCTGGCAATTTTTTTGGCTTATTTTTTGGGTTTTTTTTCCAGATTTTCCATTAATTTTTCCAGCAATATTCATGTTTAGCTGGACAGTTATATTTTGTCTTTCATTTGGGTCTATGTCCCCTGCCTGCAAAGGCTTTTTAAAAAGGTTCTTGGGATCTGCAGCACTAGATTTTTTCTCATTATTAGAGATGTAAAAGCCAGTGTTTACAGCTTATATAGTATTCATTCTTTTGGTATTATCTGAAAAATTAAACAGCTACCTATTGGCTTCTATGCCTCAGTAAGGCTTGTGTAGATATAATTTTTTTAATTATATGGAATCTTTTTTTGTAATCCCAAAAAAATATTTTTTCTTAAATTTTATCCCAACAAGTGAGCTGTAAATGTCTGAGCTCTAGACAAAACTCATTACAACTTTAGTAGCACAGTGTCCAGCATTAAAAGGAGATGAAAGCCATCAGAAAGCCCAAATTCCGGCAGCCCATGTTCTACTGGAGTTTAATTCCATGTGTAACTCAGTACGTACTTCTTTCTTGGTGGAGGGATACCGAGTAGTTCTTTTCTCATTCCTTTTTCCTTATATGATCGCATTTGGTTAAATTTGTTGTTTCTTTATTCTGATACAAGCAGTCTTTGAATTTGGAATATTATGATGGTAGGTATTTCAACCCAAACCACACTCTGTGTGTAGTGATTCCTCTCCCACATTTTCCCCTCTTACTCATGCCAGTCCCATGTGCTCCATCTCATTTAGAATGTAGCTCAGACGTCCATCGTATTTTGTGTATGCACGCAGTCTTGTCTGTGCTTAGTGTCGAGGAAACAGGGATTGAGGGTGGTGGTGTGTGTCAGTGTACCAGAGGAGGCACCAGAAATGCCTTCTGCAGGTTCTGTGTTGTCCCATTTGAGGCACGGGTGTTGGGGTTTAGGTATCAGTACCAGGACATGTGTTAAACAAGCTGGGAAAGCAGCAGTTTCTTAGTGCTTAGAGGGAGAAGGGTTCAGTGCAGAAGAGCTGAGTAGCTACATCACTGTGTCAGGAGTCTCATGCTAGCCAAGTCCTGCAGTGCTGTGTTTAGTTAGGCTCTATTCTGTGGTTACTTTGCTGCACACTATCAGCAGATATTTGTGTAGTCTAGAGATAGAGTATGTGAAGCATGTCAGGCTCTGCATGCCAAGTACCAGAACTGAGGGCACATCATGTTTGTGTTGCTTTATCTTTTCCTGGCTGCTTAAGTAAGCAACATACTTTTAAAGCTACATTTTATCAGCAAGGAAACTTTTTATTTGGTCTGTACAGTGCTTAGGTTACATGTAAAGCATAAACCCTCTCTTAACTTACACCAGATTTTGGTCAGAAATCTGGGCCAAGTTCAGTGGTAGAGCTGATCAGTTTGGACTTACTGATTCAGAGTCAGCTGCTTTTCTTTTTGTTTTGGTTTCTTGTTTGGTTTTTAATGCATGGAGGCATTTTACCACTAGGTATTAGAGCATTTCTCTCCTAGTTCTGGTCCTAACCATTATAACATTGCATTTGCTAGCATGGTAGCATTTTGATGCACACCTTAGGTAGGTGCTAAAGATGTGCAGTTTGCTGCTGTGGTGAAAAGTGCGACATCTTTGCCCACAGCAACTGAATAAACCCTTGCAATCTTCTATGGCTTTCACTCATGGCAATTGCAGCATTACAGGTTTCCTAGTGCTGTTCCAGGGCTAGTTTCAAGGGCAGCACAAGTGGGGTCAAGTCTGTTAGTGTTTGCCCTACTGATACAGCAAGTTAACACTTTCAGAGCAATACACAAGTGAATAATCCTCATTAGTGCTTCTGAGGGGGGGATATGTAGTATGTTTGTTCCAACCTTTAGAAGAGCAAAATGGAGGCACAAGTAGTTCCTTAGATTTTTGCTTATTCTCCCTCACCAGAGCTGCCTGGGGGTCTTCACATCTGCTAAAGGCCTGTGTGGTCTGGGGGTTTGCCCTCTGGACCTTTTGTCCCACTTAACCCTGACAGGTACATGACCACAGGTAACCATGGTGTGATTTGCACAGATTGTGGAAATGTCTCCCTTCTTGAGCCACCATGATTTAAGTAAATATTTTTTTCAGATTACAAGTGGCCAGACTTTATATTAAAGCGTTTAGCAAAAGAAGCAGTATGCTCCCTTAATCCTAGTCAAAGGAAAATTACTTCAGGTTAGCAGAGCAATGGGTTTGGTTTTTAAAAGGTTAACTCTGCAGTGTCAGAAAGGTAAACCTTGTTTAAGGCTGCTTTGCCATGGGAGCTCTTTCTTTCAGGCCACAGAAATATTTAATATTAAAAAACAAATTTTAAATGCTGGCATACTAAATTCAAATTGCCTCCAGTTAAATAATTCACTGCCCTGTAGGTTCACAGCAGTCCAGTTAAAGGGCTTTTGGACCCCCATCAATTTGGCAGGCAGAGCTTGGGTCTCTGCTCTCAAGTAATTTTAATTTGGGGATGGAGAGGGAGTCCTGCAGTCTCCAGCTTGTAAGAGCCCATCTTTTCACACAAGTAATATTGGTGAGCTTTGTGGGGCTTAACTGTCCTGCTTTGCCACTGGAGCTGTACAGAAGATCTGAACATGAACTGTGTCCCTGGTAGTGCTGCACAGCTCAAGTAGGAATTGTGAGGGAGGAAAGGGGAGAAAAAACATCAGAATTGTCCTTAGCCAAGAGCCAGAGATCTCCAGTGTTGTTTGTTGATGGTAGAAGAATTAACAAGGTCTGTTTTGAGCCCACCAAATTAATTTTTTTCCTGTCTTTTAACGTTGCTCTAATAAAGCATGGTTTACAGCCTTCACTTGCTGTCTTCTATCTTTCTTTCTTTCTTTTTAACATTTAAGTTGCATGGTTGTCTTTAGTTTTTAGCATGTATTGATCTGCAGGCTAACGTGGTTAAAACTCTAATAGCCCTAACCCCTTACCTTGCCATGTGGCACATGGAGCAGAATCTGAGAGCAGGCCTGAGTCTCTGGAGGAAGGGATGTCACAGCACTGGTCCCTCACTGAAACTGGTGAAAGATGGGGTGCTGGGGTTGTTGTTTCCTTCCTGGCTATGGGAGATGGTCGTTTTAATTCCAGTATCAAGCTAGTTTGATCTCCTTTGCAGATGAGAAGCATCTGTCCTCATTGCTGCAAGGGCAGAGCTTGGTTTCACCTAGTCAAATGCCATGCATAAGGGAGAACACTGGCAACCAGCAGGGGAACTGGGGCACCTCCTGGAGTGGGGAATGTCCCCAGTGACACTCAGCTGCTGTGCCACACTCAGGGGTGACGTATCCACTGGAGAGGGAGAGCAACCTCCTCCTTCACGTTGGTGGCTTTGTGCAGCTTAGCTGAGCATCCAAAGTTGTTGTGGCAGAGCTGCTCTAGACAGGCTTTGTCCTATGCCTGGGGCTGTGTGACAGCACTCCAACACTTCCCATGGGAAGTGTGACTGTGGATAGGAGGGCTGGAGAGCCAGCATGCTTAGGGTCGAGTTGGCCACTGGACATCATTCATTCAGATGCTGTGGTTGTTTACCTCATTATTTCTGTCCTACTGCTAGAATTGTCTTGCACATACTTGGCAAGAGAGATGGTGTGAAACTCTCATCTGTTTTCATTGCTCCTGTACATTATCCAGTGGACAGAGGGAGGAGAAAAGATCTCTGTCGGGTCACTTATTTATTTGAAGATGAGCGGCTCTTGTGAGACTCTCATATTCCCTGGTGTGAAATAAGATCCGTGTTGCTCCTCACCTTTGTACCTGTCGTCGTGCTCTTCACCTACTGAAATTGGATCCCACTCTGGAGTTACATGGATGGCCTCTCAGAGGAAAATCCCTAAAATGCAGACAAGCAGCTTCCCAAATCTACCACTGTCCCCTAAAACAAAAAGTAAAACTGAGTCGATCTAAAGCCACAACCTGCAGGCCATACAACCAGTTATTCTTGTTATTTTGGATCATACTCTGTTTTTCCTGTTCTCTTCCTGTTTTTTTCTTCTGTTTGCTTTGTTTGTTCGTTTTGTTTTTATTTCCCCTCTCTCTCGTTCTCTCTGTTATATATCCCTCCTGTCTGACTGACATTTCTGGATTTGGTGTGGTTCTTAACAGAGGAGAAAGCAGTGAGCAGTAGTTTGCAGCCGTTCTTGCCTCCCAAGGGCAGGGCATCATAAGACCACAGGTGATGCAGGTGTAACTATAGCCCTGTTGAGTTGGACAGCATTATGGGACGTCTTGAGATACCATCAGCTATCCAGGGTTTTTATTTTAGGAGGATTAAATTACTTTTTAATGTTTTTTTTTTTCCCCATGGAGGAAAGTTTGTAGATTAGAACAGTGGGCTCCAAAACCCATTTATCTAGTTTTCTGATTATGAAAATAAGGAAAGGAGGCGGCCTGAAGAGGAGGGGGATGAAGAGACAATTAACTGGTGAATCCTTTCCAAATCTGTTAGCTGAGGGGAGGTTCCCGAGCGGGCTTGGTGCCGAGGACACCCTGCCAGACCCCCAGGATGGCACGTGGGGCCAGGCTCCCACCCGTGCAGAGCCCAGAGTAGCTGACTGACGGCTCTTTGCTGTAGATGACTGTCTCCATCAGCATCTGTGCCCTTTATTCACAGATAACTCTCTCCCTGTTTCTAGGAGAAAAAAAAAGTGCGTTCGCTACATACAAGGTGAAGGCAGCTGCGTCAGCCCACCCTCTTCAGATGGAAGCTTACTAGACTCTCCTCCGTCCTCCCCCGCCATGCTCGCCTCCCCCTCCAGAGACTCGAAACCACAGACTGAACAAACGCAACCCCTCTCGCTCTCATTGAAGCCCGACCCGCTGGCGCACCTGGTGATGATGCCGCCGCCATCCTCGCTCGTGCTCGCTGAGAGCGCCGCGGGCAAGCCCGGCGCCCTGCCCGCCGCCAGCTGCCCCAACGGGGCCCTGGACCACCCGCCGGCCGCCCTCCCGCCGGCCGCATCCCTCGCACAGCCCTCGACGTCCTCCTTGCATTCCCACAGCTCGCTGGCGGGGACACAGCCCCAGCCGCTCTCCCTTGTAACGAAGTCCTTAGAATAGCTTTAGCCTCGTTAGCCCTTTCGGTTTCCTTTCGGGGGGATTGAATTCTGTTGGTATTTGGGATTTTTTTTCGTTGTCGTCCGCTGTTTGTCGTCGTTTCTCGGTTTCATTTTTAATTTGTGCCATGTGGCTACATTAGTTTTATCGAGTTCATTGGTCAATATTTGACCCATTCTTATTTCAATTTCTCCTTTTTAAATATGTAGATGAGAAAAGCCTCATGATTCTGCCAAAATTTTTATCAACAGCTGTTTAAAGTCTTTGTAGCGTTTAAAAAATATATATATATACATAATTGTTATGTAGTTCCAATAGCTTAGTTTTAAAGACTGATTTTAAAAATTAAAAAAAAAAAGAAGCAATTTTGAAGCAGCCCTTGCCAGAGGCATTGGTTCTTTATTATTTGTATTAAATACGAGCTTGCGAACCAATCATTTTACATCTGGTTTTTAAACCTTTAAGGGCACAACGAATGCGGTGCCGCTACTACTTCTTTTTTTTTTCTTCTTTGTGTGAAACAACCTTTATTGTGATGTTACTTGTTATTGTTTAAATGTACAGAAACAAAGGGTTAAAAAAATGTGTTAATATACCTTGTTCCATGGTGTTGTTCTTTTTGGGGGAGGGGACGCTACTCAACAATTAAAAGTATCACAACGCTATTGGACCAGTAGTATTTATTGCTTTAGAAATTGCTTGTTGTATCTGTATGTTGTCCCTTTTTAAATGTTTTTTTCTTCTTTTTTTTTCTTTGAAACATTGTATAAAGGGTTTTTTTTTTTCCTTTAGTGTAAGCATCTTATATATAACAACTCATTTGTACAAGGTTTTTAAGTTTATATATAAATGTGTATATATATATTTTTTCCGGGATTTTGTTTTTGATTTCTTTTTGTGATTTTTTTTTTTTTTTTTTTTTTTTTGCTATATGAAATACGGTTGCCACCAAATGGACATTCGCAGATGCATTTTTTCAAGGATCAATAGTGTAAAGAATAAAATTGCTTTAAAAGCCATTACACTCGAAAAGACTTGAAAATTTAGCAAGGGAATTTTTAGCAATGCTGTTTGAAAAATAGCAAGGTCCAAGTGTCTCCTGTTCAGAACTGCAGCTGAATCCCCTGCGACATTAGGACTGTAGGCTGTGTGCAAAATTTTTATGTGCCAAAATTCTCAGTGACTTTTAACTTTCTCCCGACAACTTTATTATTTTTTTTAATGCTGTAATTTTTTTGTTCATCATGTTTTGCTGTGATGTTACATAGGTAGATATGTATGTAGTTTTAATGTCACCTATAACAGACGTGTTTGGTAGCAGATTGTCCGGAAAGCATTTAAAATGAAGAGGTATAAACCCTTAAGGGCCAAATTCTGTATATTAGATTATTCATAAAAGGAAAATCAGACTGCCACTTTTATGTACACTTACTACATACAGGTAGGTAGCAAACTTAAAACAAAAAAAAAAACCTAGGCATGTTGATGTTGCAAAAAACGCTGTATAAAGCTGAAAAATTGTTCATCTGTTCATTCAGTGCCATTGTAGTTGACATGAAGCGATTGTAAAACTGTCTCAGATTTTTCTCTGGTTTATTAAGATGCTAACTATAACATTTTTTGTGAATACTTTGAATGTTTCCTAACAGTTGTGATGTTACTGTTCCGTTTTATGCTCTTATTCCGATTTTCATTTTTAATGGTTTGGAAGCCATTTTTTGTAATGAATAAATGTTCATGCTGTACAGTATCTGTAGCATGCAGTTCTGGATTAATAAAAGCAACTTAGTATGTGCAGAGAATGACTTGTCAACTCATTTATGCATTGACTGCATTTTATCTGGCTGGAAAGAAAACTTCCTCAAAAAAAAAAGGGGTAAAAATTGTGGCAAACTGCAGCCAGCTCTAGTTGTGAGAAATCCCGTTTCCTTTGGGTTGCCATGGAATGCATCTGCACTGGCCCTCTCCCTGCTCAGTGCACTTATGCTGTCTTCTGCCAAATCACGTGCCATTTGTTTTAAATAAAAAGGATTTTTAACCACTGCTAATCATGCAAGTGAGCTAAGGGAATGTCCTTCCACGTGAAGTGAGCCTGACTGGTGGATGGGACACCAGGGCTGGTGATACCTTTAAAGTATTTCTGTTCAGCCTGGTGATCTCACATAACATAGGGCTGGTGCACTATACAGGTCACACAGGAGAGCCCAGATAGCCCTAATTAGTAAAGTCCTTCTTCTCGCCTTAGACTTCATCTCCTGGGCAGATTTAAGTCCAGTTTTGCATCTATTTGAGAGGTTTTTTTATGCAATGAACCCTTGCAGCACAGCCTGCTCTTGGTTCTGAGAATCCAGCATCCACCTGACAGCAATGCCTGCAGATGATGCAGGATGGGAATGAATTTGTATGCAAGGATTCTTATTATGTTGTTGATTTGTTTGGGTTTTTTTAAAATAAGTGGAGATTTAAAATTCATAATTTCCAGGATTCTATCTTAAGTGGATGTCACCATAATAAGGCCAGTCATCTTGGAAAATGTCAGCCATAGTAATTCCTATAGTGGCACTTGAGGAGAACGGAGTGTAAAGGTGTTGAAGCAGGTATGTTCCCTGCCCTTGTGCAGGTGCATTGCTCAGGTACTACACTTCTGTTTGGTTGGTCTTGGCAGGCTCTGCAGGAAGGGTGAGTGCTCTGCAGAGCCCTGGGAACAGGCTGTTCTGGTAAGCCCAGCACTGGGATGGTGCTGACCCTTGCTGTGGGGTCCAATAAAATCTGCAAAAGTGTTCATTGGCTGCAGGAGGAATTTCCTTTGTGAGAGCCTTGGAGGCGCTGAGTGAAGTACTAAATAATGTGTAAGCAATATACAGTACTTCAAATCATTAATATTTAATTATTAGTTTACGAGATGAGTGCTTTATTTTTTTTATTTTTTTTTTGTTCAAACATGTTAGTAAAGGGCAAGATACATGAGTACTGTTTCTTATGTCCTATTAGAAGGATTAAGTCATGGTGAATTTTTTACCAAGCTCCATTTATCTCTCTTAATCCAAGGCCTGATGGTGTTTTTGTTGTGGTCTGACACGATGCTGCCCTTGACCTCAGTGAAACATGTTCCCTCCTCAACCACGACAGGCACATGGGCAGTGTGGGTGGGAGAGGGCTCTGCAGTGGGGAAAAGGGCATTTCTGCAAAGCCTCTGTGGAAGATGCCAACTTTTGCTGTTGTTGGTAGCCAGTAAATTGAATGCAATGCTCAAATTACTCTCCGGCTTGTTAAGGTTTCTAGGGAATTTTTTACTTCTTTTTCCTAAGTGTTTTGACTCTTGCTAGGGCATGGCCATCCATCAGCCCGACACATGTGCTGCATCTCTGCTGGGGATAGCTGCTCTCTTCTAAAGTAAGGAATAGTGCTCCAGGGAGATCTTTGAATGCCTTGATTCAAAGTACACACCATCAAGGTATGATTCATATATTCAGGAAATACTGCGTTCTTTGCTCTCTGCTTTATTAGGCAAATTTCGGAAAGCAGAGTCCTAAAACACCATTCCTGTGCAAATTAGTTTTCCTTCTGTGTGTGTGGTGAGAGGCATGTGTTCCAAGGGTATATTGAACAGGGCTTGTGAGTGGTGGAGAACTTGTCCTGGGAACTTGTTTGCTGTGGAAAACAATTGTATATCCCTGGGAAAACAACTGCTTGTGTTTCCTGCAGGTTGTGCCTTGGCTGCGTCCCTTTGAGGGACTATGCCTTCAGATTTGCCTCCAAATTTCCCTTGCTTAGAGGAACTGAGCTGGGTCAAGGATCCTTGGAGAAAATTGCCATTATTTATATGTATTCCCTCTGTTTCCAGGAGCCCAGGTACAGTGGAAATGTGGTAGAAAGACAGCCCTTTCTATACACTGTGGTGTAAAATAGGGTGAGGAACAGGCTGATCACCTCCAGATCCACATGGCTGAGGGCAGCCACTAGAGTGGGGTGGTGACAAAGTGGCACAGTCTGTTCTCATCCAGGACTGCCATGGGACAGCACAGGGCCCTGCACATAGTAAGTAATTCACTGTAGCTATTGCTTCCATCTGTTTTTATGGACTAAGGCAAGGAAGCAAGTCAATGTATTGCATGTTCGGGAAAAATTTATTTTCCATTAGTTTTGTAGATCTCATTTTTCACTTAGTGTATGGAATTTTAAAAAGTTTAAGCAATTGCTGACTCAAAGCAGTGCCACATGGTTTTATGCTTTGCTTAAAAGAAAAAAAAATGGACAGGCAGGAAAAAAGGAGCAATCTTTAGAGTCCTGTTCATTTCATTAGACTATAAAAAAGATGTAAAGAGAATTTACAGTAAAATGGTTGCATAGGTCATCTCAACAATTATGAAAGTTAATAATATTAATATTAATAATGCTATTGTTATTGTTACTATTTACTAAAACAATAATAACAAACAACAGCAAAGTGTGTGACACTGCTGCCCAGGTATGTCTGGCATATACATAGGAGCACTTTACCACTAAAGGCTGGATGAAGGTTTTGGATGCTGTTTTGGGAGAGGTGCTCCAGCTGAAAACTAAATTCAGTACAGGACCAAGATTGATCTCAAGTGATCTTTGTTGGACAGGATGTCTAAAGCTTTTGGAGCCTTAAAATTATAAATATTCAAATTTGATCAGATATTGTAGCAGTTTCTGTGTCATAAAAAAACCTGCTCTGCATAAAAAAAAAAAGGTGGAAGTTGCTTTGGCATTATTTTTAAGGTGTCCCTGCAAAACGTCTTGAGACTTTTGAGGCAGATCAGCTACAAGTGATTTCATTCCAAGCACTCATCATTGTCAATAATGTCACCAACCCATTTAAGGACCCTTTGAGCCCTGTAGTCTTCCAATCCCTGGACCAATTTTCTTTTGGGATCAATCAAAAATATTAATTCATGACTTTCATCCTTGTACTAGGAGTTTCTCTTTTTCTGAGGTTGGAAATGCTTTTAAATTTGAGGTGGGGGGATATTAATCTGGACCTCTAAGGCAGTGGAGAACATGAAGTCACGCTCTATGTCCGTCTGCTTGACACTCTCCTGGTAATTCTT